AAAGCTAGATTGTTCATTTTTCGAGTGAAGTACTCATCACTCAATGAATCGACGACGTCCAAGACTTCCTAAATTGCAGAACTTAGGGAGGAAGAGAGATTGAAAGTTAGGAAGCAAGCAAAAACGGAACCTGTCTCGATTTTCCATGGAATGCAGCCAACTGAACGAGTTCACGCAAGAAGTCGTCATGAGGTGGTGGTACGGATGGCACACGACGGGAACTGCTAAAGTAAATACGGTAGAGGTAGAAGATCTCAAAATAGGGAGGCTATGGAGAAGTTGAAAGACAAGCGCTCCAACGAAAGGAGTCGCTAGTATTAGTAGAGCAAGAATATTGGTTTCTAGACAGGGGAAAGAAGGAACAACTATCCGGACATGGTAGATGTCTACGAGAAAAAATCGGAATAATGTGGCAGTGAAAGTGGTGAGACAGGAAGAAGGAAACTGGTCCCGATTCCCGCTCGCTGGGAATGGCCACAATGCCAAATCGGTATTTCACTAAATTGCTCTTACCTCTCCACGTCCACTTCGAGCTGATCAGCTGATGGCGGTTTCACCTTGCATGTAACAACAGCGATGCGCATTGCTGTGAACCTGAAATGAGAGTTAATTTTTCCCTAAAAGTTCGAGAAGAATCACAAAACACTTCGTACCTTATGTGTTGCATGGCAGCAATGTCTCCGCTGTGGGTGACATTGCTGGAGATGTCGCGGCTTCCGTCTGCTCCGTTACCAACTTCTTCACCCAACTGCGCCAAAACTTCGGTAATCCGAACTACTTGATGGGAAGCATTTAGAATGTACTTCACCTGGAATAATCATAAAATTTAAGTTGTCCGCTCGCTCATGACGGGACCTGCACGCCAGCACACCTTCTCGGCATCGGCAATGTCTCTCAAATAGTCCTTCAGACACTTCGTCTGCAGTTTCTTCAAATCAAGTGGCTCGAGATGGATCGGACGAGTGGCTCTATGGTCCAATGTATGGGCCGTTGATTTGACAGTGAAGCAGATCGTCCCTTAACAGTAACTATGATGCATAAAAGCTATGAAAGGAATATCAAAGGATTACCTCCAGTTACAAATGACAGCCGCATTATTAAGGCCGACTTGTGCTGCTCCAGAAGCTTGTCGCCCTTGAAAAATGAAGGTGTCGATTAGAATTGAGGGTGTGGGACCACAGAGGAACTCACTTCATCGAATTCGAGAAATCCAAGTAACAAGCCCATCTCCCAAAGTTTTCGCACATTGTTACGAGTATCATGGAAGATCTGTAGAAGCTCAAGCATTCCTCGCCACACCTGAAATCTCAAACTCAGGGCAAGCAAGGGGTTGACTCTAAAATGTAAGTGTAGAATTCATTTGCAACCCCTAGGATTGGTGGCTATCACCATTTCACGGTAAAATAAAAGGAGTGCTCCGGTGGAGTGGTAAAATAAAAGGATGAGACAATGAAAGGCATACCGAAAACCGAACGTTCGTGCTCCCACACTCGTATCGCAGGTGAGGACAAAGCACATTTTTGAACGTGACAATTTCTGAAAGGTCTCATTATTTCAGAAATCATCCATACTTGCAGCAGCTATCGTTCACTTACGTTGAACTCCATTGACGGTGGCACCATCTTCGTTGCATTGACAGTCGGGACATTGTAGTTTGTACTTGAGCAACTCGAAATCGCCGTCAATCAAACCTCTTTGGACTCCGGCATTCACCTTGAAATGCTGCTTGTACAGATGCTTGAACTGCTCCCAGTGCATTCCTAAACTTTATTATTCCACAATGACCCACAAAACACTAAACGTCCAACTTACCGGTGTCAACCCACTGTAGAAGTAATCCTTCCTGATGGTTGCAACCGTATAGCCAGAAGATTGTGGCTGTATACGACGACATCATTCGCTGCACTTGACAGTCCTGTATATATTCCACAATGACCCACAAAACACTAAACGTCCAACTTACCGGTGTCAACCCACTGTAGGAGTAGTCCTTCTTGATGGTTGCAACCGTATAGCCAGAAGATTGTGGCTGTATACGATGACATCATTCGCTGCACTTGACAGTCCTGTATAAGAATCCTTCAAAATAAGCAAACAGGACACACGCGACATAGGCTTTAATTTCACACCTTACTAGTAGCTAATTACCTGGTTTCTGCGAGTAGCGATGGTAAATGGGAGCGACAGATTGTGAGCGGTAGCGAAACTTCCAGAAGGGCTGAAATTCATTCCTTATGACATCATCTGTAACCATCCTAACAACAATTACCTGAACATAGTGGCTTTGATATGAAAATAGAAGATTGGCCTCTTCCCAGTGGACTTGTCGCTTTGAGCATTGGACGGCGATAGATCCTGGAAGCAAACGTTTCAGAATGGTGGTGTTGCTTGTGGTCAGTGGTGGTTTGCTATAGCGAAAATCACCTGGAATGAGTTGTGCGTGGATTGCCGGCCCTTTTGTCTTGTTGTACACAGTAGATGAGGATATGTCGCCTGCCAATACCTAAAGGATCTCAGTGCTACGAAAAGGATATGGAGCTGGTCAAGTAGAGCCAATAGATAGTCCTACCTGTATTTGGCATTGTATACTGGATAGATGGTGACGTATTCTTTGCTGTTCACATCACTTTTCTTATGAGCAGTGTTAGTTACCGTATCACCGAAGCTTCGTTCTGAACGAATCGTTCGTCGATCAATTCAGATACACTGTGGTGTTAAATACTGCCCCCTCTTATTTAAGAGCATGAATCAGACTTGGATTACCCGACACCCACGAAACTAGAGGCAGGCTTATGATTGAATCCGCCTTATCTTGCAGTATGGCGATCACAATTACTACTTCTAGTCAAATCACACACTAGCGACCCGTTTTCGGAGCTCATTATGAGAAGTACTTTGGTATAGCTCAGGTCAGACATTACCCGATTTGATAGGTTACACAAAGTAAGTAAAGTGTAACAAATTCAAGTGAACCAAACCTGACTTTCACGTTCCTTAATGTCATCAACTTATTACTAAAAGAGTTTCAGTTGTCAAAAACGTTGACAATAATGGGCGCCTATGTATGCAATCTTATGGAGAGATAGAGAGTTCTCAAGACCAAGAGAGTTCTCAAGACCACAAGTACACTTCCACGCAGACCTCTGATAATGACGATTCCACTGCTTTCCCATTTTATTGAAGTAAGAAAACCACATGTGCCCTTGTCACCCTAGTCTGTTAATCCAGACTCCTTGCAGAATACCCTCGCCTTATTTCGGATCATCGCTTCATTGCGGGATCTCTTCTGCTGAATTTAGAGGCTCCATTTCTCCTTTACAGTACGGAGGCAGAGATTATTTCCTTGCTCTTCGCTTTTTTTGCATCCTGTACCCTCTAGGTTCAAGGGAATACGTGCATAAAGCCTTGATTAATTTTGGCATTTCTCGCCCCTGGTTATATGGCCAACCCTCCGTCATTGGCCTCACGGTGGCGCCATCCTGGTGAGATTATCACTATGAAGCTGATGGGCAGTGCGCTGAACACGTCACTCCGCTTTTTTCTGCAAATTCCCCCTATCCTTCTTTGCCATCTATTTTGCCGTTTCAAAGATAGAACGCTTTGCACCGCCCAGTTGCCCCTTCCGGGTGATGAAGAATGATGTACGCACCGTACCCGTCGTGATCACTTACCTAATTACATAAAACTTCGCATATTTTCTGTATTTTCAGCAAGTTAGGC